GCTTCACATGTTTTGACATTCAGCTCCTGTTTGCTCAGGGAATTGTTGGGACTCTTTCTTTTCCAGGTAAAGTTTGCAAAGATTGTTTAGCTCTTATGAAACCAGAGACAGATTTTGGGGCTTATGTAAGTAGGAAGTCACAGACAGTTGGCTTCAGGAAGAGCTGGATCCAGGACTCCAAACAAAGTCCCAAGGTATATTTCCTTTTGTCTCTTCATTTCTTGGTGGTGCTTTCCTCTATAGCTTCCTCAAGAGAAAAGAAATAGTCCCTTTCAATAATTCTTAAAATTCCCGAGCCTCACTCTTTGTGGCCTGAAGCAGTTAATATACACTTCTCTCTGAAGCAACCGTTCTCACTAGGGGCCTAGAATAGCATGACCAGCATGAGCCTGACTGCCTCTGGAAGTCCTGTGTTGGGCCACACTGTAGATCAAGTATGGCCTGGGCAGTTCTTCCCACAGCTCTGGGTGGACACAGTGTCCAGCCCTGCCAGAGGAGGCCCCTTCTGCTTAGTGGTCCTGAAAGTGGAACTGCTGCCTCGCCACCCAAGGGAGTGGAATTCGGGGTAGATGAGCTTCAATCCCACTCCTTCCTATGAGGCCCTCTGCTCTCTTTTATTTGACCCTCAGTGATTCAAAGGAGCAACCTTTTGTTACTGAGGCGGTGGCCCTGGAAGAGCTCTGGGTGCTCCCCAACCTGCCCCTACTTTGTGTTTCAGTCCATCGCCCTGACTGTCCCCAGGCCCTCGCCAGGGACTGGCCGGCGTTGTGCCCCTTCCCTGGGAGCTCTGCTTGCTGGGTTCTGGTGCAGCCCCGCCACACCAGGTTCCAGGTCGGGGTGGGTCCTGGGCCCCCCTCGGGCTGTGAGAGGCTCCTCTCACAAGCACACTGGGTCCACTTCGAGGGCCCCACTTCTTCCTGCAGGGTGTGCCCCACTTCCTGAGCCTGTGCCTGAGCTCGCCAGTCCTCCCTGCCACTTGCAGCCTCTGCCCTTTGTGCTACTATTGTCGAGGTGTTGGGGGTCAAACCCAGGGCCCCACTGAGCTACAACCCCTGACTCTGCCCTTCCTCACAGACTCTGTCGCCTGGCGTGGGTGAAACCCTCAGGATGCTCAATCCAGGCGCCACTGAAGGCACAAACATGTATTGTGGAGAACACTGCCTGGCATCATCATTGTGTTTTCACTTAATGGCAGCGGAAAGTTCTCGAAGTCCCCAGTCACTCCTCCTCCCTTCTTGGTTACTTTCCTGTGTGTCAGTCAACAAAGGCACCCATGCCAGTGCTCCTGTGAGGACTGGAACACCGTGCCCACTGGCCTTGTAGGGCCCTTGCCAATGCGAGGACCACATGGTCGCCATATTGCACTGTTTCAGTGACTGTGCATTTATTTAGCACCCACTGTGTACCCAGTGCCACAGGATATATGGAAGTCATCAAGTTCATTGGTACTGTTAGAGACTTTATGGTCTAATTGAGGCAGGACAGCTACAACCAGGAGACAGTGCGGAAGTCATTTCGTGATGAATGGTGTGGAACATCTAAATACTGTGCCCACCCCCGGGGAAATATTTAGGAAAATGCGGGCTTTGCTTCCTTTTTTGGGTCTTGCTGGGATGATGTGGAATATTAGGTGTCTTCACATAATGAGCCAGGTGCGTTTCCATACTGCTCCGTGGCCTCATGCTCCAAATGTTATGTCTCGGAATTACAAAAGGGGAGGATATTTATGTCGAACCAAACCAGCCCCCGCATCTGAATCACGCAGGGCACTTTGTCAGAGGATCGTACCACATGGCTCAAATGAAATCAACTATTTGAGAAGGTTTTTTCCTCAGACACACAGGAGAAAGTTAACCTGGAAAAACTTTATTAGAAATGAGTGAAATTTGTTATCGGGGGGCACTCTGCTTGGGTTTTATAGACCTAGATGATGAGGTTTGCATTCTGTCGTGCACCGGCTGCCCTGCATACCAGTGTAATTCAGGACGGTCCTTGGGTTCTCTATAACATCACTTTGGGATATTAAGCAAGGAAAGGTTGTAACGCGGTAGGCACCACTTGTAAAACAGCCCTGGATGGGCCAGGGCTATAGCTCAGTGGTGCAGTGCCTGCCTGGCAAGCATGAGGTCCTGAGTTCAGTTCCCGCTACCCACCTCCCCCCCCCACACACACACACAAAACAGGCCTGGAGCACTCACAGCAAGGGGAGGGGCTTGAAGCCTGCTAATTCATTTCGGAGCACTGTAAACAGCCTAAGGTCTAAGTGATGTAAGTTCTCATTTGGGCTTTGGGGCCATAATTGTTGGGTTTAACTGATGTGGCAGAAAAGAACTTAAGAACAGCGTGCCTATCTATTCTCCTGCAGGGAAACAACCAGCATGTTCAAAATTTCGCATGGGATGGAACACCCTTACACGCACAGGTGGGCTAAGTGACGCACGTGCAGAGGGTCCCCAGCCTGCTTCCTGCAGTTCTGCATCCCTGTCCAAGGCCAGCTCAGCTCGGGGACTTGTTCCTGTCCGAGGTCCGAGAACAACCACAGCGGCTCCTGTGTGTAGGGTGTGTGAGACGGACCTTCCGGGTCGCAGGACCAAGGGAGAAGTCGTCTTCCAGGAGGAGAGGTTCTAGGTGGGCCCGTTCCAGCGTGCCTCCCAGTTGGCCAAGGATTCTCTAGAGGAATGGAATCAGTAGAAAACATATGTATAGTGACACAGGGGGATTTAGTAGGTAGCTCACAGCGTTGGAGGTGGGTGAGTCCATGGTGGCCATCTGGACAGCCAGAGGATTCAAGAACGGCTCAGTTCAAGAAGATGGAAGCCACAGACCAAGGGGGTTCAGGGGTGCAGTCCTAGGCCAAGGTCAGAGCCTGGAAGCTCCCTGGAGAGTCAGTATCTCGAGTGTACACTGGAAGGCTGCAGAAACCAGAGGCCGATGTCCCAAGGTGACAGTGAAGACTAGAGCTTTCCAAAATAGGCGCCCTTGCTGCTTCTTTGCCTTTTTATTTCTTCTGGGCTACAAGCCTGTGGATTGTTGCCACCCACACGCGGGATGGGTCTTCCCTCCTCGGTGTGCAGCCTTCCTGTCCATCATCGGTGGACACGCCCAGAGCTTTACGAATCTGCTACGTGGTTCTCAAGGCAAGCTGACGTGTTACAGTTAACAGTCACTCACTAGGGTGTGAATGGTCCCTCCAAAACTCATGCTGCAACTTAGCCCCCACTGTTAGGAATTGAGGGGTGAGGCCAGGCAGGGCTGTGCAGAGATAAGGGGGGTCGCAAGGGGTCATCTATTCATGGATCCATGATTTAATGGGTTATCTTGAGTAGATATGTTATAGAAACCAGTTTTACTCTTGTTTCTTTCTTGCCGTGTGATGCATTTCACTGCCCTGGGACTCTGCAGCGAGTCCCTTCAACAAAAAGTCCCCGCCATATGTGGCCCTTCCATCACAGGCTCTCCTAGCAGAGCTGCAAGCTGAAGGAACCTTTATTTTTTTATACGTTAGCCATTCTGCAGCATTCAGTTATAGCAACAGAACACAGGTGGGGACGGTGGTCCTGTCATGAAGCCCTGAAATTTTTTTCCTTAAAAGATTTTCCGTTGCATTTTCCAAGTTGCACTTTAATAGAGGTCCATGAGTGTCACTGGCCTTTTCATTTGGCTCTCTGATTTCCTGGGATATATACGGGATGCGCCCTGCAAAAAAAGACAAAGAAAGGGAATTTGGAATACTTGCCTAGAACTGAGCAGATGTAAAATGTGCGACCTGTGTCTCGGAGAGTGTGCTGGGAGGTGGCGGTGAGGGGTGATGCGTGCACCCCTGGGTTTGTGGAGGCTGCACCAGGGCCTCATCTGGCTTCCCTGCTCTTCGGGGAAGCCCTCAGCCTCGGGCAGATGCCATGTGTGTCCTCTGCAGTGATTGTGTGACTCTGGAGTGGTGTCCCGTGGGGGCATCGGGCTGCTCCGTGGTGGGCAGTCACATTCCAGAGAATGCCATGGCACGTGGCAGAGGCGGCCTCCAAGCTCAGCCTGGCTGCTCTGAGCCGGACGGAATTGCCCTCCGGGTCTGTCGAGTTTTGCTTGCTCATGGCCCTTCAGTAATCCACTCTACTGTGTTGTCCTGTAGGCCCCCAAAACCACCTCCCAGGAAAAAGGGGACTTGCTGACAGCCCGGTGTCCCTGCCTCCCCCGGAAGGTAAATTGCTAACAGTGGTGTGCCCCCTTGCCAAGGTCGCAGGAGTGGACCTGCAGGTTCTAAACGGTGAAGATATACGAGCCGCCTAGGAGCTCTAAGTGACTGTCAGTCTCTGAACTCAATGCTTGCTTTGTTCACCATTAAATATATTTGTTATGCTTCCTCCTTAAATTGTAAACCATTTGACTAGAACTGTGTATGCAATTGCCTTTTGGAAACACAAGCTAGCTAGGACTTTTTTAGAACCATTTTCAGAAATCACCATGTTACCTGCCTGCTCCTGGGCTTTAATAACAGAGTCACACCCGCTGGTTGCCTGGAGCCTCTGTCAACATTCAAGACGTTGCCTGGAAACTGCTGACGGTAGAGCTGTCAGCCTTGGAATAAACTTGACTCAGGTGGAGTTCCAGTTGCAGGAGTCTATTATTTTGAAGTGGCAGCCATGGGTAATCAGAGGCGAGGTCACCAGGCTCCTGGCTTTGTGGACAGACTGGGGAGCCCAGCCAGCCAGGCTCAGGTGGTGATTTCTCGTAGGTGGGCGGGGCCGGTGCACCTGCCAGGTGCGGTCTCCAGGCGGGAGGGCTGGAAACCCTAGCAGGGCCACAGGGAGCGGAGTAAGCAGGTGCCTGGCTAAAAGCAGCTTTTGGATGGCTTCAGGAAAGCAGCTTGGGAGACGTATCTGGATCTCAGGGTGACATGATAGGCCACGAAGAGAAAATAAAAGAAATCGAAAGCTAGAAAGCAGGTGTGTAAGGCAGAGACCAGCATGTCCCCAACTCCTACACCATGTTCTCTGCAGAGAACAAGTGGGCATTAAGGGGGCCAGAGGAGTGAGCGAGGGCACCTGGGCTTGGATGTGTTTGGCATAGAGCCTGTTCCGGGGTCCTGCAGTGTCCAGGCTGCCCTTCTCAGACCTGCCCTTGCTTGAACACATGGGGAAATGCAGCCTCATCCTGGCCTTGCCCTTTGCCTGCCTCCACGGTGAGCACGAGGAAACGCAGCCCAAGTTTGTTTTCTGCCTCAGCCACTCAGCAGCGACTCCAGTCACAGGGAGGCAGGTGACGAGGACTCCAGACCAACTCCCTGAGGAGTCAGGCCACTCCCGCCCTGGCCCTTGGGGCTTGGCGTGGAAGAAGGAAGTGTGTGCTCCTCAGACAGCTCTGAGCCTGCACACCTGCCTGAGGAGCTTGCAGGGCCTCGGGTCCCTGGTTGGCAGAAGCCCCGCTTCCTCGCGGCCCATGAGTGCTGCTGGGGAGGATGGGGACCAGGGCTTGTGCCCAGCGCCCAGTGGTGTCCCGAGAGCCTTAGGCCACGCTGCTCCCTGCTGCTAGTTTCCAGGACGATGAGAGAGCCCGAGGCCCACACCGCTTTCAGGAGGATGGCTGCCTTTTCCCACTGCATCAGGCCTGACCCCAGGTGGGCCCAAGAGCAAGAGGGTGGTGGAGGGGAGCTGCAGGGGGGGGCCCACTGTCTCTGCCAGGGCAGGGGTTGCCACCAGCCTTGGGGATGGGGCTAATGTTCTAACAGGTTTATGACCTCCTTCCTTACAGCCTTTATTCTTTCTCCTCGAATTATGTGAATTCTGGAACAAAATAATGAGTGTCTTTGTTTCCTGTAAGACATTCACAGGGAGAGAGAGAGAGGGAGGGAGGGAGCAAAGGGAAGGAGGACTTGGTAACCAGCGCTTTACTCTTACTGTCCCCTGTGTACCTCAGATCGCGTGGCAGAGTTGATATACTTGGAATGGAGGGAGGTCAGGGAAAAAGGACACCAGGATTATTACCTAAGGCTCAGCGCCAAAGGGCTCACTCCCAACCAACGGACATGGCCCTGAGAGGTAACCCACCTGAGCTCCTGCCCGGCACATGCAGCCACCTCGCCCAGCTGTTAGTGACCTTTTCCCTGGGAGCTGTTGGCTCCTGGTGCATTGAATTCTGTGCACCATGGTGCAGAGGGCAGTAGAGCTTGATTTAAATTCATTTGCTCAACGTAAATAAACACATCGTGGCAGCCTCCATCCACCCAGGAGATTGTTAGGTCTGCGTGACACTTGGACTGGGTGGGGTAGTCATAGTGAATTGATTCTGGAAGGACCCATCTAGCTCGTGGTGGTCCGCCTCAAGCCTCGCCTTCTTCCTTGGTTGCATGGGGTAGTGACACAGCATCTCAAGGATTCCCTGTGAACACAGGGTGTTGTATTGGGTAAAATCCTGTGCCTGTAGAGTTGTTATCATTGTTACCACTTTTTTTGGTGGTATTGGGTGTCAAACCCAGGGGTTCTCCCACTGAGCGACATCCCCAAACCCTTTTTTTGGCGGGGGGCGGTTGTTTTGAGACAGAGTCTCGCTAAGTTGTTCAGGAGGGACTTCTCAGCCTCCCAGAGTGCTGAGATTATAGGCACGGCATGCACCGCTGCACCTACCTGCATAAAATTTTTTTGACTGATAATTATTCAAATTCAGCGTCTACTTCTGCCTATGTTGAATGGGCCAGGTTAGACTGGGGTGATATGTCTTCTCATTAGTAGGCTTTGGAGAGTGTCTTTCTATTAAAAACCAAAACATACCTACTAAAAACCAAAACAAATCCTGTAGAAATGCCAGTCACATACATTACATTCTAGAAAAGTGATTGGTGGTGTGTACACATAGAAACAAGGGAATGTCTCTCGTCAGTAAATTCATACAGTTAAAAGTGACCTAGTCTTGTAAAACTGTCCTTTGTGCCCTGGACTCCAGGCTTCCCTGATGCCTGGGTGTTGAGCAGTCAGCACCAGATACAGCTTCCCTGTGAGCTTGAAAGTTTCCAAGTTAAATGGTGTCTTTGTAAGATCCTCCCCAGCACTGAAATGAATTTATATGTCCCCTGGAATTATGGAAATAGAATTTCTAAAATAAGGTGGTGAAGTTTGACGCTCTGATGCTTAGCTATTTTTGAAATAATGGTTTTGTAAAAGTCTCTAATAGATTTTTTTTTTACTCTAATAACCTGAAAATGTCTAAACTGATGTTTTTCAAATCTCCTATGAAAACACTCACGGCTCAATGAGTGACAGCAGGGTGCTCTTGTGAAAGCTGTCATGCATTGCTGTCTGAGGCCCGAAGTTCATGCAGGTGTGATGGTGCGGGCCCCGGCTGCCTAGGTGAACACAGGTGTGTGTGTGTGTGTGTGTGTGCGTGCACACGCACACGCATGTGCACAGGAGTGTTTGCTGTGTTTGGATTGCCATGGGCATCCCTCACCAAGTAACTTAATTTGCCCACTTATAAGGACTCTGAATACCACTAAATCAACTTATGTAAGTCATTTTCAGAAAATAGTAGTTTATCTTATGTAAGGTCCTATTTATATGCTTATACATTATGGTGTTTATCTCGTGGATGGCTGTTTGTTGGGTTGAAACTGCGGTGTTGCTTTGCAAGGAAACAGCCCAGCAAGCTGTCTCTTGTTGTCTCGTCCTCCCTCTCTAGATGTCTGCACGTCCCTGTGTCCAGTGGGGAGTCGGAAGTAGGGCTCAGGCCCCCACTCAGGGACCTCCTCTGCACCCCTCTTCCTTTACTCCCACACTGAGGCGTCCACAGAACCCACGAATGTCACCTCTGTGTGGCTGTAGGGTGGGTGATGACTCAAGGACAGTAGGCAAGAGCTCAGGCAAAAGAAACGTGACAGCCTAGCAAAGTCCGATTTTGAAGCAGTCCGTCCTTCGGATCTTGGCATGTTAGGCCACGCTGGAAATTGTGCATGGGCACTTGGTGTTGTCTCGCTTTTAACAGGAAGTGCTTCTTTGTTTAGTGGCTGTTACTGCAGTTCATTCATTCATCTCACATTATTTAAGCAACTACAAAATGGCAATCCATGCTGGTGCCTCTTCCCTATCCTCATAGAATTCGTGGTCAGTTTCACATACTTAGCAAGAAAGTGCACGGTGCACTTCTTCAGGCCAAGCCTTGTTTTTGTTTTTAGAGATAATCCCTGGTTACAGGATGCCGGAAAACTTCAGCACTGACCAACCAATAAGGTCTTTCACTCTCCTTCCTGCTTGACTTAAAGCTCTTGCACTTAGCAGTTGTATGTTCTCTGCATTCAGCCCCTTGCTTAGGAGATTTCTCTGCTTGCTTTCTCTGGTATGCAGAATAGATCTACTCCTGTCTCTGCCCTGTCCTTCCTGGCAGATGGACAGAGGAACTTTGCTCAGGCGTCTGCTTGAAGTAGCAGGTGGTCATCCGGCACCTTCAGGGAGAGATGATTGATTCTGGTGCCATCCAACCGCAACGCCCCTGCCTCTACAGGGCGGTGACAGCCATCACGTCCCTCTGCTCTTCAGGATAATAATATCATTAAGCAGCAAGCTGGCATCATTTTTGAACAGCAGTTTCTCACAGGAACTTTGTGAGCATTACACATTCCATTTGCCTCAATAATGTGAAACTTATTTTGCTAAAAAAAGGAACAGGCAGATCCTGGTGTGACTCACTGGAGAACAATAGTTAAGTCATAATTTATTTTCATCTCTTTCCCAAGAAAAGGGGAAAATGATGAAATGTATAGGGAATGTAAGAAAGGGCATCATAAGGGGGAACGGGATCAAAGATCGCACATACCCCCGTGCAGTTAGCTGGTGCCTTTTGTGAACCAAAGATTGAGGGCTCTTGCGGTCTCTTGCAGGAAGGAGGTAGATCCTAACTCATCCCGAAGGGGCAGCTAACCTGCCTGGGGAAGGGGAATTGAAACCGAAACCGGAAGGATGAGGAGGAGTAAGACCAGGGAGAGCAGGCAATATCATGTTCGGGCAGGGGAAGAGCGTGTGCAAAGACCTGGGGCTGACAGCAGCGGACAGCGGGGCTAGGCCTGTATTTCTGCCGTTGTATCAGGGCCTCTGGCTGGGATCCAGCCCACCTTCCCTTCGGGTGAATTTTAGATCCACCTGCGTTTACATCGTTCTCATTCCTGCCTGTGTGTCCCATATCCCCAGCTGCTTCTTCTGATTCTTGTTTTAGTGGGAGTTTTCTGGGAGCAAATTCTATAGTCTTCTTTTACGAAGTGCCTTTCCTTTATCCTTTTCTTTTTCTGGTCATACTTTTTCCCCCCCAACAACTTTGTTGATGTGTGATGTATATGTCATACAGTTTACCTGGTGAAAGTGTACCATCAGGGAATGGGTTTGAAGAGCTGTGTACCTATGAACCCAAGTAATTGTGGAACATTTACATCTCCCCAGAAGGAATCCTGGGGCTTGTTAGGAGTCACCTCCCACTCTCCTTCTCCCCCCCAGCACCACACTCCCCAATTACAGGCAGCTCTTACGCTATTGTCTATCTCTATGGCTTTGCCAATTCTGGACAATTGATATAAATGCAAGTGCACAGTGTATAATCTTTAGCAACTGTCTTCTTTCTCTTCTCAAAATGTGTTCAAGGTTCACAGCATTCCAGGCTACAACCCCAGTGACCCACCTCTTCCGACAAAATCCCAGCTTTGTATCATCACTGGACTAATGCACTAATCATCCACCGGATGATGATCACACCTCTGTGACCCAACTGCCTCCCAAAAGCCCCATGTATGAGAAATGAGGTTTTGGGGGGACATCTGTTCCACCGCTGGCCACCAAAAGACTCGTGCATGTCCATTTCAGCAAAATCCATTTAGTCCCTCTCTGAGAGTTGCCAAAGTCCTAACAGTTTCAGCATTGTTGAAAAGTCCCAGTCCAGAGTCTCCTTTGAGACTTAAGGCAAACTCTTAGCTATAAGCCCCTCTAAAAACCAAAAGAAAGTTAGACACTGCCAGCATACCAAGACACAAGGTAAACATCCCCTTTCCAAGAGATAGGGATATAGAAAGGAATGGGACCAAAGCAAGACCGAAACCCAGTAGGGCAAACACGAAATCATGTCGGTCCATGTCCAGTACCCTGGGCAAATTGTCGGGAGATGTAACTTCAGAGGGCTTGGGCGGCCCACCCCTAGGACACGGCTGTGGTTGTAGCCCTCAAGGGCTCTCTTGGGCCAGCTTCGCTGCTGTTCGTGGCTTTCCTCAGACATTCCACATTCCTGATTTTCCCAGCATCCTGGGGTCTCCGCTGCACTTGAGGCTTCACTCTCAAATCATGTAGAAAACAAAAAATGGAGTCACAAACCAGTGTTCCAACACTGGCTTTTGTGATTCCCCTGCATATACCTTTATTGAGATCTTTATTTCTCCATATTGTACCTGTGGACCCAAGTTGATTGCTCATTCCTTGAGAAGACCAGGAACTCAAGAACAAGTTGTTGAGGCAAAGACCAAGATTTATTTTGAAATCTAATAAACCAGAGGTGTAAACTATCACCAGCAGAGACCATCAGAGAGCAGGCACCAGGGTATTTCCAGATTCCAGGGTTGGGGACAAATTTGTATCACCTGAATTTCCAACATAT